AAGAAGAATAGAGGGAACTAGTTACGCCTGTGGTGATGTCGAGCTGTTGTGTAGTAGCTATTCAGCTTTGCATGGTTATCTGAGCCGCCCATCTCTTTATTATAACGATCAAGAGGATACAGTTTCCTTAGAAATGGTCTTAGAGAGGGCGCAGAAGGCGCAGGCAGCGCAGAGGGCGTAGAGGGCGCAGAGGGCGTAAAGGGCGCAGAGGGCGCAGAGGGCGTAGAACTTGCAGAACTTACTGAATTCGCTGAATCAAGAGATTCTACGAATTTAGCGTATTTTAGAGAAGTATTATAGCGTTTAACAGCATTAAAATAGACGCATTCGTTAACAAGAGGATTATATACTATAGTTATTATTGCCTTTAAAGCTGAATCACAAAAGGCGATACAGTTGACGCTATTAACGACCTAATTAAATTACTCTCTGTGGTTATTCTGCTTTGTTATTGCATCTCTAAGATATACTAGCTCTTTCGGTATCCCTGACTCTGCTTTTGCTGTGCTGTTAGCGCTAATACTAAGCTTATATAGCTCTTGATAGAGCTTGTAAATAGTAAAGAAGTTATCAAGATGTAGGATATAGAAGGGCCTTGGTCGTGAAAAGCGCTCTAAAAATAAATGCGCAAAATCAAGTACTACTGCCTCACTTTAAGAGAACCTAGAGTACTTACTTAATTTAGCCACTTTCTTAATAGCGCTACTGAACTTGAAATCGATTATATAATCGTTAGAGCAACAAAGACTATAGATCTTATATCCCTTGCTAGCGGCCTTTGTATTCATCTAAATTATATGCTTTGAATAATCTTTAAAACTAACTAATTACTCGTTAATTAAGAGATCTTGTAGCAATTAGTATATCTCTTTTGTTATTGCTTTTTAAAATTCTGTAGCAAAAGGCTTAACTTTCTGATATTATTAATTATCAGCAACAGGCCCTAGCTGTAATGGATGGAGTATCTCCTCTGCTATAGCGCAGGAAATACACGAGACCAGCTACGCACTTAGATAGCAGCACTAATAGCGTATCTATACAGCACGCGGAACTCTTGCTGTCAAGCTACTATGCCGCTGATAGAGGCATCCGTACGGTACGTGACTCCCTATACAAGTACTATAGAACAGGAGATTAATACGACCTCTTTAGGGAAGTACAATCTCCTCTAGAGGGAAGCTACCGCTTCTGGCCCTGTAGATACTCCGTCAGATCCTCTACGCAGGTTAACTAATAACACCTCTTGTGTTTGATAGAGGAGTATATAGTAGAGCGCTAGCCATACTGTAGATAGACTTCTTAGCTTACGTTTTAGCAATCTATAGATTATTGACTTGTTCTAGTTTTAAGCTATTGTAGTAAACGTAAGCTTAATACTTACTTGTTATCCTGAGAGATAATACAAAACTCTCTTATTTATAGCACAGCTATTAGAGAACCCATCTAGGGTTATTTAATTATATAAGAAAGTCGTTGCTCTAGAAGTAACGCAAGGTCTGTTCGGTATAAACACCCTGTACTGTACAAAGATTTAAGAATTATTAAGTTAAGATAGTTCGTAATCAAATAGAGAGAAGGGAGAGTAGCGAAGTTCGCTATCCTTCCTTAAGCAACTAGAGGCAGAGTCTAGACGAAGCCCCTCTTACAGATCAAGACGCCTTACACGTATTAATCAAGTACGCAAAGAGAGCAGCGGATAATCTATCGGCTCTCCTAGCCTTTATAGCGCTGATTAATAAGAATTAGACGCATACAGCGGCATTTATATTAATACTAGTAGCTACTTACAAGGAAGAGAAAGCCCTCTGTCTAAAGAAGAAGGCTAAGCATTAAAAAGCTCTTTAAAAAAAGGAAACTTAAGAAGAAAGATACTAAGACCTTAATAAAGACACTAGCATTAAGATTAAAGCTCTAAAGAATTAACTCTATAATAAGGAGGAGATTATCCAGAACCTCTATAACAAGATTACAGTAACTTTAAAGCTACAAGTTTAAGTAGAATCTCTATTAGAGACTTTAACAAAATAAGAATTATTGCCTTAAAAACAAGTCTTATTAAAAGCAACTCTAAGCCTTTTAATAATACTTAGCTTAAAAACTAAAAAGCTGCCTTATCTAAAGGTCTTTAAAAATAAATCTCTTTAGAAGTTTTACTCTTAATTATTAGTTATATAACGCTCTTTTTAATAAAGCTATCTAAGATCGCTTCACTTTATAAGAATGAGCAAATATGACAGACACACACACACAGACAATCGACTTCGTACGCAACTCCATCTAAGCATAAGAGGAAATCTATAGAGGCCCAGAAGAGGCAGTCCCCCATAGCACGACGTACGACTCTCCTTGACCTTATCCTCTACCTCTGCTTATACAGGCAACAAAACCAAGACGCGTCTACCTCTCAGGGGAATGCGTCTAAAACATGAGAAGCACACGCTACAAACCCACTAAAGAAGCAAGATTAAGCTCAGGACCTAGCAGCACGACTAGAGCGTATAGAGTAAGCCCTAACAAGATTAGCCCTAGCCCCCTGATCAAAGGGAAAACCTTAGTTGTATATAAATGTCACCTGACAGCAGCCCGCAAAGCCCTCTGCCAAGAAACCCTAATTAATTAATTAACTAGTCTTTAAGACTATAAAGATGATTATATAACTTACTAGCAGCTAAGAGAAGGACAAAGTCAACGAGTTATTTATAAAAGAAATAGTAAAGATAGTTAATAAGCAATATAATAGTACAAAAGGAAAGGAATTTATTATTACTACAAAAAAGCTATTAAATAAGGAAATAGCCTTATATATAGATAGCACAGAATCATATACACCCCCCCTCGTCCCCCCCTCATCCACCCCCGCACTAAGCCCTCTTGCCTAAGTAAAGTCAAAAATATATAAAGTTTTACTTAAATCTGTACAGATTAAGACAAATTAGAATAAACAGAAAATAATCTAAGAAATAAAATAAGAAAATATTAGACTATTCCTAATATTAAAGATTATATACCTAAGATAACTAAAGAAAAAACTAATAAAAAGCAAGTTTAATTATATACTTAATACTAAGATAATAAGTATATATATAATACCGGCGACGGACAGACACCTCTATGTGGTGCCGGTGACTAGTATCTCATCTCTGTTGGGGGCAGAGATGAGAGAAGCAAAGATCTGTCCATAGGCAGCGCGTGGGATACGCTGTCGAGTCGCCTTGGGGCTATCTTATCGAACGGGCTCGTGTCAAGTATGAGCTGAACCTATGCGATGAAATGTCAAGAATGAAATCACATTCCCATGGTCGTTTTGGCAAAGAAGACGATAAGTGGGGATTCAATCAAACCTCCACCATACGCATTACGGGCCGACATACCATCAATATTTGGCGCGCTATGCGTGGGGAACTGAATCTACTGCAGTATACGATACAGCCATCCGCCGGCTATGCGTTTGGGGCACGCATCGCAGGCGACCTCGGCGACTCAGTGTTAGCATCGTACGCCAACTCAATCTAATACGCGGAATCCTGTTTCTACTCTATGGTTTCCCTCTCTGGCCTCCTCTATGAAACAATACAATGCGAATCGCAGATGATGAGGGCGCGTTTACGGGTCTGTTCTTGATGAGGACACAACAGAGATAAGAGATTAGAAGTGCAGGTGTCACAAACACTTATTAATAAGCCATCATGAACTGGAGTTGATGTCTAATCTTAGAGGTATGTTAAGTCCTTACTAGGATCAAGGTGCGTATCGCATGTGGTGCGTTAGCGAGTCATATATATGGCGTTGATAAGAGCGTTAGGGGAAGAAGTTTTTCCATGGAGCAGGAATGCAGTCTTAGTAAATACTATCAGAATAGGGTTCTTTGACTTCAAGTACGAAGTCAGAAATAGACACAAGTATAAAGCAGTATATATACATAGTAACTAGGTTCTTATGTTAGACCGACCTGAGTATATTATTCACATCTTATAAACTTAATATATATAGAATTATATAATAGTAAGACCT